ATTTCAGTGAAGTGGAAACAAACCTGTGCTCTGAAAAGGAACTGGATCATGGGGAAAAACATTCCAGTGGGATCCATTCTTTGGAATTATCCCTAGAATTTGAATTCCTCAGGGATAATTTGCTATTTTAATAACTAAATAAATAAAATTAAAAGCTTAGTTTGTGAATAAGAATCAGAACCTGTAAATCTGATGGTATGACAGATATACTTCAGTAAACACATGAACATGTGTCATGTTTCAAGTATGGAATACGTATCTGGTGCTTGGAAATGTGATCATCATGACGTTTAGAATGCAGAAACAAGCGTTTGGTTTTGATTGTTCATAATGTTTGGGCTATTTGCTGCTAGAAATTTCAGAAGCTAAATTCTTTAATCCAATGTATTGAGCTGGAGAACAGGTAAAATGTACCTTATTTTATGATAAGTGGAAATGTCATCTAATGAATCAGTAGGGACTTGTTGTTTTAATATTTTTTGCGATATTAGACCTCAAAGAACACCTTCAGTTTGATAATTAAACTATAGAAGCTGCAATAAAATATGACATTCTGGGGGGGAGGAGAAGACTTTGTTCTCTCTGTCATGTGTTAAGTCAGTGGTATGTGTGCTGAGGAGTCTGGCCTTAATTTTATGAATTACATTTGGGATTGTTTCTTGGTTGGGTCATGGGTTCTGGTTTTAGTTCTGGAATGTCACTCAAAATAAAACAGAACTGTGGGGAGTGGCAGAGAGAGAACTGTGATGATTGTACTTCGGTTAGAGGTAGTGGTGGTAGAAAACCTGTCATCTCTTACTTAATAAAATAGTAAATCCCAAATCTGTTTGGTGTTACTCATCCCAGTCATTTTTCCATTCATTGCCTGTAACTACACACTTGGAACAGGGAGTTTGGTTTAAACAAGACATGAAGGTGATCCCCATTCCTTTGTTCTGAATCCCTGGGATTGACATACCTGGGTGCCTAGGTGAGGAGATTCCTAACTTGTTATACCTCATCCAGGGAGGTCATCCCCACGGAAAGGTTCCTGCCTAAACAGTGACTCCTGCTGCCTCAGTGTCCTTGTGTTTCCTCATTTCTGCCCTCGTGTTTCTGAGGTGTTGCTGTCCTGAGGCAAGGATGGGATTTCTTTTTGCTGCTGTTGTTTGGTTTGTGTTGTGAAGACCTAGCATTAGCAGCCCTAGTCATGGACTGGGTCCCGACATACTGCCATGGTACACTGGAGAGGTGCTTATCAATTTATTTTGTAGCAGTTTGTTAAATAGATGGAAACTCAGTGCAAATATTTTTTTCTAGTTCAGTATTTTTGAAGGAACATAAGTAGAGGTAGATTCATAATCAAGCATCACGTCTTATATTTTTGCACCTTTGTTAACTGCTGCAGTTTCGTATAGACTTATGGAAATAATCTTCTTGCCTTTTCTCTTTTTTTTCCCGTTTTTTCCTTTAGAATTGCCAAAATGCTTTGGAATTCTTAAGCGATTCAAAAACTGAAGTCTCTGAGGATACAAAATCATAAGAACACAAGAAGCAGCAAGGAGGATTCAGTGCCAATGCAGCAACAAAAAAGACAGCCAGAGTTAGTGGAAGGAAATCTTCCTGTTTTTGTTTTTCCTACAGAACTTATATTTTATGCAGATGACCAGTCAACACACAAGCAGGTGTTGACTCTATATAACCCCTATGAGTTTGCCTTAAAATTCAAAGGTGGGTTTCCTAGGTTAAGTTCTATTTAAGGGTTAGTTGATGATCTTGAACAGTCCAATTATAATTCATGTAACAAATCGTATCTGTCACAAAACCAAACTTGTGTCTCTACATGTATCTGTTGATGAAGCTGGTGATGTATTAGTTCATGATTTGTTACTACTCCTGTCCTTTTCCTTGCAGTTCTTTGTACAACTCCAAATAAATATGCGGTGGTGGATGCTACTGGTGCAGTGAAGCCTCAGTGCTGTGTTGATATGTAAGTAGAAGTTGGTTGGGTTTTTTCCTAATATATAATATTTTATTTACTTAATTTCTTTCATTATTTAAGAGGTTGTAAATGACAACATGCATGTTATAATATATAAGTTGGATAAAGATATGTTTTCCTAGTCTTCTGTATACATGTGTCTGATTTTTGCTGTTCTTTCCCTCTAGAGCAGAGGTATTACAATATTGGAGATATGTCCTTCTTTAATTTTGCCTTTGGGTATAAATAAAATGCCAGTAAATGCTTCTTGTAATGTCATTTATAAACCAGAAACAAGAGTAATATGAGCATCCTCTGAGCACCTTTTTGTTAGAAATAACAAGAAAAGCAAAACCCCCAGGGCTGAGATTTACACTTCCATACAAAATGGAAATGTATGCAGTTCTACTGAGCACAGTTTCTTGAGCCATTTTAAAAGAGGTAGTTTTGTCTGCCTTTCACCCTGACCATTCTCAGATCTCCTTTGTGTCAACTCAGTAAATCAGGTGTCAACCCAGTAACTCAGAACAGGAGGAGACTGCTTAAGTGACCACAGTAATGTACAGGGTCTGTAGGCTGCTGAAGGCTGAAGCAGAGTAGGTGTACAAGCTAAAATAGACCAACTCTTTTTATCTTCTATTTGCCACATTATTTCTGTGCTGATGTACAGATACAACTGAAGAAAATCTGAAGTATCTGAAAGAGCAGTCTGAACTTTTTGAATAGACATTTTCCATACTCTGAAACACCACCTGGAATCTCTGGCTGACAAATGGCCCTATACAGAAACCTTTTGTCAGATAAATAATAAGTGTTCTTGGGAAATGGGTCTTTATTCCTATAGACTGTTTTCCTTAGGTGCAATTTGAAAAATTTCAAGGACTCACCAAATAGAAAGGAAGTTTAGAACATGGAACTAGAAGGTTTCAGTAAGCAGGGGCAACAATGCTAAAAGTGGAACTAAACTGGTCAGAATATACCAGTGTACCAGTGAGATATTCCATTCTTTAGCAGACATTTACACAAGCTTGATTACATTTGGTTAAAGAAATGGGTTTTATTAAATAAAGGAAAATAAGATAAACACATGTTCCAAGGGGATTTTTTTTTTGTGCAGCAAACCCCCCCATCGCATTCCAGTGGTTGCTGTCTAAGGACAGTGTTTACTGCTAGATTATGAGCAGTACTATGCAAGTGTGGCCGTTTGCCAGATAAACAGATATTCTACTGAGCTTCCAATTATGCAATGATCTCTAAAAAGAAACAGGAGAATGTATCTGTTTATAAGGGTCTGCATAAAATATCTTCTTGCTTGGCAGCAGATACATATTCTCCTAGCACAGTGTTATGTAAAGATTCTGTTTAGGTTGGTAGTTGGTACCATGGTACTAGGAGTAGGAACACCAATTTAAAAGGAAGTGTTAAAGGAAGAGATCAGAGTTGATCTGCTGTGCTGATATGCTGAGAGCTGTATGAATTAGGGTTGTGGGGAGGGAAAAGCCTTTTGTTTTAGTGAAGGCAGTTGCCCAGCCAACACTCTGCTTGCTGAAAGCCTGTCATAGGCACACTCCTTTGCCTCTGAAGTGACGTAAAACATCACTGCAGCCTCTTGCTGAGGGGATGACTTGGTCTCTGTTTCTGTGTTGAATAGTCTATTCAAACTAGAGACCAGTTGCAAGCACTGGCTACGTGCTAATGCTTGTAGATATCTTGATGTGATACAGTTCCTTTAAATGAAGACTGAAAAACAAAAATCCATTTCTTGCAGCATTTTAATGTATATAACTATTCTGTGTTACTAAGGGTACAGTCATGTTTCCCCCCCTCATGAGATGGCAACCTTCTTATTTGTACGTATGTTCTTCAGATTAGCTGATGTTATCTTGGAAACTTAGAATAGCCTTTCACGAAAAACATCTGGAAAAATAGTTGAAATCCTTATTTACCCTAAGAGCTGATATCACTTCAAAACCTAAATGTTGTAGCTTTTCAATGCTAGATATGTATTCTCATGATGAATCACAAATGCAGAGAGGAGGCAGTTGAGCACAGCACTGCTCGGAGGTCTGTTTTGCTGTTGATCAGTGCTATTTTAAAGCTGTGCTTTTTATAGGTTCCAAACATGCTCTCAGTGGTGGGTTTCTGATTTTGAAAATCCCTAGCTGACTCTTGTCTATAGAGGGAATGAGTTTTGCTTCTGAGAAAGTAGAATTGTAAAGCTTTGAGCCTGGTTTCCTCAAGAAGCAGGACTGTCGCTTGCCAAACACCTGTCCAACTCCTTTCCTTCCTTGTACACTCTAGTCCCCTCAATACCTTTTAAAATCATTGGCCAGCATCAAACAACCTTGATACATGAGGAGGAGGCATCTTTCAGACAATTGATGTTTCATCAGTTGGCAGCTGGGCCTCAGACTGAGGCAAAGATGGGCTTGAGATAAAGACAACTGTCCTGTTTGGCCAGGAGCATTTATATTTGGGAATTAAAGCAAACATAAGAAGAGGAGAGAGGAGGTAAGATCAAGTCTCCAGGAACACTGAGTGATGGAGGGGGTAACAGAGGTCTGGATTATTCCAGTTTATCTGGACAAGGGGGGACAGAGGGCAGGTTTTGTGATATAGGATGTGATTCCACAACAGACGTGTTTCTTAGTAGTTCATCTGTTTGAAAATGTTGTTTTTCTCTGCAGTGTGATTCGTCACCGAGACGTTCGGGCTTCTTACTATGGTGTCATAGATAAATTCCGTCTCCAAGTGTCTGAGCAGAGCCAGAGGAAAGCATTAGGGAAAAAGGAGATTATTGCTACTCTGCTTCCATCTGCAAAGGAACAGCAACAACAAAAGGAAGAGGAGGAAAAACGAATAAAAGAACACCTGACTGAAAGTGTCTTTTTTGAGCAGACTTTGTGTCAACCAGGTAGTTGAAATCTTTTACCCCTCCTGTGTTCTGAATAAGTTTTGAATTGCTCAAGCGACTAGACTTAAAACATTTTTTAAATATAAACAGAAAAAAATTAAAATAATTCATTTTACTTACCTGTAAGACTGCTGTCTTTATCACTTGAGGATGACAGTGTACAAGAACCCAAACCGTGGCTCTTCTTTTCATGCTGTCTTGATCAATCAAGACCCTTTGCTGCCCTGTGTTGGCATGGCATACCTTGGAGAGTGCATCCACTGTTCCTCTGGAGCAGGAGCTCTCCTACAGACAATGGGAATTTATTTATCTGTGAAAGGAGGGTAGTTATTTTTTCCCTTGGTCTCTTTCAAAACATATGCCCCTTCTGAGTTTGCTCCAAACCCTTAATCCCCCATTTCCTGATGAGTAGGAAATATTGCCAGAATATCTTCTGAAGTGCTCCTTGTTCTGTGCCCTGTCCTTTATCTGTCCCACAAGAACAGAAGAGCACAGTTGGTGGCTGAAAACTGTGTGTTTCATACACACAGTGAGGAAGTGAATCAACAGTCTTGAAAACCTGGGCCAGACAGTTAATTGAAGGGGTAGGATATAAAGTGTCAAATTGTACCTGAAATGAATCCAAACTGATTCTTCATGGTTTATGTTCTTCTTACTTTTACTGATTTAAACTGGAATGTTCTTGTCACTATTACGTTTTTCAACGTAATCAACAAAAATCAATTCCAGAAAATAGATGTACCTCCTTGAGAGTGTTCATTTTGTTAAAATTAATCTGTTTCGCTATTTATACTGAGTTTGTTAGCTGGTGAAACACTTTTTATTAAAAAAAACCCTCATAATAGATATTAGTAGGATACACAGTTAAAGCAAACCTACAAAGGTTTGTAGTCTCTGGGCTCACAGAACAAAATGTTCTTGTGCTAGTTGCTTTAGGACAGAGGGCCTGAACCACCTTGAACAATCTGATACTGGTCTTACTCCAAATTCTGTTTCTCTCTTTAAAAGCCTTGTTGATTACATTATATTGCTTACTTACAGAAAAGCAGTAAACAAAGAAACTGCAGTTTTGCATGTCACCTGAAACCTGGAAATAAGAGATTTATGGAATTAAAATAGAGCACATATTGCTAGTCACTGAGGATAGGAGAAGTTGATAAAAACATTGGCTATTTTCCAGTGGATCTTAAGGATTTGGTTAGAGGTATTCAGCTAACATGTTAACAGCTCTTTTCAAAGATGACACAGTGGGCCTTTGAGTAGGTTCCAGCTGTTAAAGTGCAGGGCAGTAAAGACTATGAAGGACTCTTTATTGTCTGTGGTTTGCATTTCCTTATTCTGGTAATACTGGGCTGTCAGAATGGTTCACTCTCACAGTTCTTAAAGTAAGATTAAAATTTTACTAATTTGCAGCATCTAAACTGACTCTGGCTCAGGTGAAGCCCTTGAATTCCGTAAAGAATGAAGGGGAGCTCATCTGGCCCAAGAACCTGTGCTCCTGCTGCAGTCAGGTTTTGTTAGGAAGTGTGAGCAGTTACCTGTGCAGGTCTTTTTGGGTGCTCTTAACTGATTGATTATTGATCACTGAAGGAACATATCAAGGAATGGAGTCAGAATGCACAGGGAAGTCTCAAGCATTGCTGAGACATCCAGCTGTCCTGAGTGTGTATATATAGCAACTGGGCCTGGCAGGCTCTGTTCTTCCAGAAGGGAGGGGTTTGGGAAGTCATGTGAAAACAAGTTCCAGCATCAGAGCAGGGAGCAGCCTCCTCCACTGCAGAATGCAGAAGGTTTAGAAGGGTGAGTTTATGAGTTGTCTTCCACTCCCTGCAAACTCCTGTGCAAAGAGGAAAATCTGAGGGTATTTCAGCTCCCACATATTGCAGACATTTTTGCAGAATATTTAATGTTTATATTATTTAGATCTTCCTCACAATTGGTGCTGTCTTGCTTTTCCAGAAAACAGAACTGCCTCGTCGGGACCTAGTTTACTCACAGTCTTCCTTGGAGTGGTGTGTGTCGCAGCACTAATGCTACCTACATTGGGGGAAATGGAATCCCTGGTGCCTCTCTACCTCCACTTAAGTGTGAATCAAAAGTTAGTAGCTGCTTATGTTTTAGGTAAGTACTTTAGATTTTATAAACATTTTCCTGCAGCATTTATGAGTTTGGAAAACTTCACCAAGTGCTGAAGCGGCCAGTGGCCTCAGGAAACTGGATGGAGACAAAGCACCACGTTACTTGTTTTGCATCTTGGCTTAGATCTTAATTTATAGCCATGGTGATGGCAGTGTAAATTAGTTATTGTTAGTGTTTTAGACCAGATTTGAGTTGATACCTATTGCACACAGGCCCCTACATGCTAATTTCAGCTTTATTTGATGATGGGCCAACAGCAGTCATCTGCCAACACACCTGAACGGAATGTGCTGTTTCTTACTCTTGAATTGAAATAGTTACTCTATTTCAGAATGTAGAATGTGTTACTGTATTTCTCCCTCCAGCTCCCTTGAGCTGTTTTTTAACACTGCATTCTCAGTACTTGTTTAATAAACAGTTGCTATATGTAGCAGTAAGTTGTTGTAAACCTTGTCTGAGACCACTATCATTCACAGTTCTTCCTGATTTGTAACTTGCTCCTGCATTAGCATAGATGAGCTGCACATTTCATTTGTTATGACTATTTCTCTATAACTATTTCAGATTTGAAGAACAGTCACACTAAACTCAATTCTCCTGTCCCACTACCTGGCAGAAATGAGGATTTAAAGGAAAAGAGCTAGGCAGCTCCAAACTGATAGCTAGAGGTGAGGTAGTGATGGGGAAAGGTCCAAGTTCTTAATGGTTTGGGCACATTCTGCTGACTCAGAAAGGTCCATCTGCTGAAGTGGTTTGAAACCTCACTTGTGGCTCTTTGCTCAAGCTGATGCTGATGGATTCTCAGATCAGGACCTTGCAGTAATCCTCACTTTGTTTTTATCGCTGCTTTTGAAAATTACTCCAGGTTCTCCTGGTGCCAGCTACAGTTTGAAGTCTTTTGACTTTATACATTTGCAACAACTGAACCTGTTTCTAGATTCCCTATGAAGTTTTGACAGGTTTTGACTTCTTTGCTGGCAGTGTTTTTAGTGTTCATGGACAGGTTCTTTTGTGTGCAACTCTTGCTCATGTAGAAAGTCAATTGCTCTTGAGAAGTTGAAACCACTTTGTTCCACAAGAAGTACAACTGGATTGTGGAGCATTTAATGGAAAGGGTTGTTACACCACACCAGCAGGACTATATGATATTTGAGAAGCATTTGATTTACAGAAATGAGTTAAACCCTTTATAATCTGCAAGTCCCTGTACAAGTGGTGCAGGCTGCTCTCCAGAAGCCTCTGCTGTTCCTCTGTGATGATGGAATTGATCCAAGCTAAGGATCCAGCAGCTGTGGGAGCACTGATTGTCTGAACCAATACAGACCTTAATAAATAGCTGAGCTGTAGTTCCTCTTGAAGGGATAAATTGCTGGTCTAATGGAAGGCAGTGTTGCAGCTTGGTTCTTCTTGGTCGTGCTTCTGCCTTCACCATCTTCATAAAGTAGCCAAGTTCCATCAGTATGGAGTGGCAGGAGATAAAATAGTCTCAGAAATGTCTTTATCCATGGTGAGATCTGTAGGCTTTAGCTGAGCTTTCTGCAGTGAAAGGCTGTGACAGTGACATCATCTGAGCCTGCAAGAAAGTGAGATTGCCCAAGAACTGATAAATTATTATTTTGATGTTACCTAAGGCTGGAATTCAGGGAGCCCCTATGTTCTTCCATCTACCTCCCTTACCTTGTGCAATATAACCCATGGCTAAGAACTACAGATTTGTACTTTTTCCTCTATCAGCACATAATTAAAATGAACTTTTCAGTGTCTCATGAGTAGGTTTATTAGCCCCTATTTCCTGTTTTCATCTGGTTTTAATTGTTTTTAACCTCTATCAGAGCAGTCCTTTTTTTCCTCCCTCTTTAAAGGGCACAACAAAGAGTCTGTTGAAAGCTCCCTCTGCAGACTGACAAGGAAGCTTAATATCTTTGTCTAAAACTGGTCTTTGATCAGTTGTTATTCACAGAGCAGAAAAAAAGCCTTGGAGCCTTCAACTGATCTGCCTTACTGATGATTCAGGATTGGAATGACACTGCCCATAACTGGCCCCCATGAGAAATGGGGTTTGGGTGCTAGTGTTAACACTTACCAAGTCAAAAGTTCAATGTTAAGATTTTCCAGTAGAGAGATCAGTAATTGTTTGGAGTATTTCTGTCTTCTTTGACATTCAGTTATTACATGCACCACATATCAGTGTTGATTTTTGACTATATCAAAAATTGGAGTGATACTTCTAATATTTAAGTGTGTATATAAATGCATTCTGCATGTATTTATGTACTTTTACCATATTTTTCTGGCCTGTGACAGGGTAAACTATTTTACATGTTTTGAGTGAAACAGAAGTGTTTAGTTCTTAATTCTTGTCTTTCAGGTCTCATCACCATGGTTATTTTGAGAACATGAGCAATGAGTTCATAGGATGTCAAACACCTTACTGTATATTCACATCATGAATGTGGACTGCCTTTTGCTCCCATTTGGCTCATTAAGATGCTAGCAAAACTGTTCAGTGATTTAAGATACCTTCAGAAGTGTAATATATTTTAACTGTGTATAATAAATGAAAGACTCAAAGCACTTTGCGGTGCTTCTGTAACAGACAGCTATGAAATGTTCAGTGATACCTGTGAAAATAATTTGAAAAAACTTTTATATCTATGCCTACTGTAAAAAATCCTTATTAAAACAACATTTGTTATTTTTAGTCTATGTTCACATCAGTGCGTGATCACTATAAAAGCAAACTGTCTTCTGTAAAAATGCTCATTTGGTTTGTGGTTGTACCTGCTGAGGCTGGCACATAACACTTCTGTATATACATACCAGAGGGGTGAGAGTCGTGACTGATCATTGAAGAAAATGAAAAATTCCATCAGTGGAACTATGAAATAAACCATGAATTTTAGGTGAAGAAGTAATTCTCAAATTTCTTACTTCATCATTACCAATGTATCGTTGAGTACTCATTTTCTTACCTGGGGAAATAATTTCTTGCAACAGCCATTTTGTACCACAATTATTAGACGATAAAATCAACTTGTGTAATCAGATCCCTTAATTTCTTAGGGATGCATGGAAGTGGCATTAATGGTAGCTGAACTCATACTAATACAAAATTAATATTCTTTTTTCTGTTTTAGAGACCAAACTAAGTGAAATAGCAAAGACATTTCTCTGCATCCCTCCCCCACCCCCAGCTACCACAGAGACTTTTCTATCAGAAACTCCTGCTTAAATGCCAGTTTCATATTTGAGGTGAACATTAATCTTGTTTCATACAACAAGTATTTCCCTTCATTTGACATTTCATTGTCGAGATGTTAATTCTAAAAGGGCAGCTATTACTGAATTAGATTCATACAGACAAATCTTTGTTTGTAAGAAGTCTATAGAATATGCTCTGATATGAATAATAAAGTTTGGAAATCAAAACTTCTTTCCCCCTGCATGTTACGGGTCACTTTTCTGCTTGTGCATGGAAATACAAAGAAACCGTGCAAAAAAAGTGTTTCTGGAGGAAAAAAAAAAAGGAGAAAGAGAAGTTGAAAAAAGTTGTTAACCACTACATTTTTTCTTATATAATGCTACTTCAGTTTGATTCTCGGAAGAACTGGGATTGTGTCATCCATCGATCAGCATCAAGTAATAAAGTCAAACATTAACATTCACTAAGGGAAAAAAAAAACTAAAGAAGGTTCCCAGCTGGTTTAGAAGGCTGTGTGCCAGGGCCTGCTGCAGGCACAGCACCTCCCTCCAACGCTGAGCTCGTGGCTGGGTCAGTGTTTTCCTGCAATGCAGGGCTCTGTTCTTGCAGCTTCACTGTTCCTTGGTACACTGTGAACGCGGATTTTCACCAGGTGCTTTAACCTGCGGCTCCCTGGGGAAAGGTGAGGGAATGGAGCAGAAGTTGGGGAGATAAAAGTGCCATGTGGTACTTTATCTTAGCACCCAACAGCCAGGATAAACATTTTGTTGCACCCAAGCTGATTAAAAAAGCCCAACACAACCCTTTTTCCCCCTATATCCTGGTGTTCTGGTCTGGGATCGTGTGTTTCCAGGCAGTTGCAGGAGTGCCAATCTCACCTGTAGGAACTCAAGAGTCACTGAGTGACTGTAACCAGGTCTGACACCTGCAGCTGCCTCAGTCCTGCAGGACAGCACGTGCATGGAGAAGGGTGATCATGGGACACAGCAGATGCCAGCAGTCATTTTCAAGGAATGTGAAGAGAAATGATTGGTTTAGAAAAACACCTTGACCAAAGAAATCAGGAACAAAAAGTTATCATCAACCAAAAAAAACTGAAAACATTGGACTACTTTGTCAAGGCAACAGAGGAGCAATACACAGAAAAAAAAAAAAAAAAAAAAAAAAGATTAAATGCACAGAGTAACTCAGCAGATGCAGATAAAACTGGTGCTAGGGTGAAATAAGGATGACAAGTGTGAATTCTGACTTCTTTCTCCTTCAGGGGAAACCAGGGAGGTTGCAGCACGCTGCAGAACCACAGATTTATCCCATTTGGGAAAATGACCTGAACTGTTTCAGTTCAGCACTGAGGAAGAACATATCAAATTATGTTACAGCATAGTCATAGCAGGGCACCAGTAAAATTTGACCAGGTGGATACAGAAGATTTGGAAGATATTTCCTGATTTTTTGTATATTTATGTGCGTGCACATACCTCCAGTACTTACGTACTAGAATTTCAGAAAACACTGAATGCCTTTGGAAATACGAATATACTGAATATACCTCTTAGAAACACCAGGAAAAACAGTTAAGTGTTCACGTCATTTCCCATTCCTGACTCCTAACACAAACAAACAGTCATTTCCTCGCAGTGGGCAAGTATTTTCAGCAGACAGTTGGGAGGGCTTTGAGATCATCCAGCAGAAACAATCCTGGTGTTTACCCAGCACTCGCTATGGCACCGATGTCTCAGACGAGCCGTGCTGGCAGCAGGAAGTGGGAACGCTGCTGAGATGGCTTTGGGGAGCGTCACTCCCGAGCGCTTGGTGCGTGATCTTCTCGAGGTGTTTGCACTTGTCTGGATCACAAAATCCTGAGGTGATTGTGTTTCTCTAGAGGAGTGAATCACAGAGTGCTCGAAACTTGAGCAGAGCCAGTGCACTGTTGCAGAACTCCAGGGGCAGAAGGGGCTGCCAGGGAACCAGTTAATTGCAGAGATTGCTGATAACGGAGCCCCAGGGAACAGGGCCACCAGCTGGAAACAAATCAGCCCCTGCGAAGGGAAAAGCTGAGCTGCTGCTGCTGCCGTGTCTCAATATGTGCCCCAGGAAGACAGTGGGGCGTTGCTGTGAGATGGGAACAGTCACTGCTCTTCTTGAAACCACTCCACAGGGATGTTTGCAGCAGCTCCTAGAGGAGCCCGTGCACAGAACTGTCCCTTCAACAAAAAAAGCAGAGAAATCCTGCGAACAGCTAAGAACTGTCAAAGCAAATCATATGTTCTTTCATCTTATGCTCATATGTACAAGTATCTGATAACCAGCAAGCCTAAACTGGAAAGGGGCTGCCAAATAGGCTTGGCAATAAATCATTGTATTTTAGTCCTCATTTGTCAATGTACATTTAAGACACCTCACTTTGCTTATAACAGCTTTCCTTATAAATGCCAAGTTCCATTGTCCCTTTCCTTTGTCAGGAGTGTGGCTCTCACACTCAAAACTTACGCTCAGGGCAACATCAAATTTAAGGATCCGATCTTATAGAACCTCTTGTACAAAAGGCCTCAAAAAAAACCCCAAACCTTGAATCATCTTCTCTGCCAGGTGGGTCTTGAGTTGTTGGGTTGGAGCAACTCAGGTGTTTTGCCCTCTGACCTTGCATGAGCCCCCTGGGCAGAGAAAAGAAGGGAACACACTGCCCTACAAAGCATGCAGGGCTGAGCAATCCTGGTATTGACCCTCCTGCCAGCTGTGTGCAGATAGAGGGGCCAAGTGGCCGTGGAAAACAGGTTCCCTCCTGTGTTCCTGGGGAACAAGGCACCCACCTGCTTGCTGCAGTGTAGGGAAGGCAGCATCTCTCACTAGAGCTGGAGGAGAAACAGCCAGAGTTAATAGTGCTAGAGTCTCTTTGCTGCAGGCATAATGTGCTGCCTGAGGAAATTAAATTAAGACTGAAACCGCTGAAGGAGAGTGAAGTTCACTGCTGCCAGCAGCCCATCACTCACTTGTTACAGCCCCACAGGAGCAGGTGGGGATCGGGAAACCATCGCCGTGCAGTCAGCAAGAGCCATTTACAGGTAATGACCTCTGTGAAAGGAGTCTGGAGAGCAAGTGCATCTTCCCAAAAGGAGAGCTGGAGGAATGAACAGGCAGGCGACACTCGCAGCATCACAGCTAAAGCCGAGTAAGGGGATACACTCAGCCACTTCTGGCTGTATTTTTGTCTTCTTTAGAAGCTCTCCACTGAACGCTAACGAGCTGTTTACTCTGGATAATGAGCTGTAGCTAATGCACATCAGCTCTAGGAAATCTGCAAAGCTGTATGACCTCGCTGACAATATCATGTGGAATTACATGCAGGCAAAGCAACCACACTGGTCTTCAAAACAGCAGAGACTGTGAAGAAGTAATTTAAGCATGAGCACAGCCACGATTACAGCTATGGGTGTCTCCCCACTGAGAGGAAAAAGGCTTGTAAGAAAATATACCTGAGTAACAGGCACCCTGTAATGGAACTTAAATACATGTTTCCAGTTTTAAAAAAAGAAAAAATTAGCCATAAAATTTTCAGTAGTAAATACGATTTACAGTAACAAAATGAGAGTGTTCTTCTCTAGAGAACTGCACACTCAGTGACTTGAGGTATGAGCATGAAGGCGTTAGATGAATATTTGCTTTGACAAACAAGAAGCCACCATCAAGAGACAAAACTGCAGTAGGGCTCTGGAAACCCACATTCCATCTACCTCACCAAACCCATTAGCGCCTTTCCCTCAGGAATCTGCCAGGAATCTCCACAATCCAAACCGACTGCTGAAGTGAATGCACTTAAAATGAAAGGATGTTGATGTATTTTTAGCAGGAAGCTTCTTGCAGTGACTTCAGGGCCAGCTGTATTTAAACTGGCTTAAAAGACAACACGGTAACCCGATTTCTGTGCCACAAACCCTGACGTGTGCTATGCACATCATGTGTTTGATTTCCCTGCACACAAGGACAAAAATTAACCAGAAAATACGCATTTCCAAAGATTAGTCCCTGCAGCAAAACCGGCATCGTCTTGAGCAGCTCTTCCTACCTGGGTCAACATCCAGCAAAATTCTAAACATTTACATACAATTATTTGTCATGGAAGGAAGTCTTAAAATAGCAAGCATTTTCTAAGGCTCTTACAAAGCAAATAAAAGAATAAGAAACCAAACTAACAGAAGAAGTTTAGATTTGATAAATGCCAGATTTGTCTGAGGAATCTTTGTGGCACTGGGGATGTCTCACCAGTTCCTTGAGAGACACAGGGGAGCCAGCACAAAAGTGTGTGGAGGCTGTTTGGTTTTGGTTTGAATGCACCCAACTCCTCCCCCCTTCTGAAATTTCTGCTCCCAAGCCAGCTACTGAAAGTCAAACAAGGTTATTCTCCTTCAGTGGCTTATTTTTTTCTCCTCCTCTCTCATGCTCCTACCACAAAGCCCCAGTGGTGGAAGCAGTCTCAGTGTGTGTGTGGGGTCTGGGTTTTTGGGATGCAGGGTGTCTGCCTTGAGTGCTCCATGCCAGAGGAAAAGAATCTCCTGAGCAAGGCCTGGGCTGGCTGGCAACTGCTCTCAGGTTTATCAGACAAGGATGCTCCCACCAGATACGCAGAAATGGGAAGGCTCCACTGGTACAGGTAAAATAATCACCTCTATAAAATGAGCCTGAGGTGACAATTTTTACCCCCAGTTATTGAAAAGGATTTTTGCTCTGTGTCAGTAAGGTTTTAATTACTGTACTGTAGCTGTAAACATTCAGTTGCATTTACAAATATTTTAACTTGTTGCTTCTAGGAGAAGAGGGATCAACTTAAACTCCATCTGCCTGTTGATGATGAGAAAGGTTGATTAAAACAGGATAGGAAGAGCTCACACAGTTTAATTATGACTCCTGAAGCTCTCTATTTTAAGTAAATGAGTTATGACTCCAGCATATGCAAGAATACAACAGCATAAAGTGAACATTTCTGAAATGACGACTGCTAAGGGAGGCACAAGCTGTTCTCAAGCTCATGGAGTGCCAGAGGTCCCTCCAGTCACTTCACCAGCAAAGCATTTCACAATAGCAGGGCTGGACTCACAGACAGCACTGATACTGGAACCACGGCACATCTATAAATGGAAATATTTCAGTCTCACCAGACTTTGGAGACTTGTTTTGTTTCTATGGGTTGGTGATCATTCACATTCAAGATTTCTGAAAAAAGGCGAGAAGTAAGAATTTAGGATTAATTTCTTGCACTGATCTCAGGAGAACCTTGGACAGTTGCTCAGCATTCAGGTCACCTGCCTCACTGGCAACACACAGAACATCCTGCAAGTCAATCTAGCTGAGGCAGAGGCTCATTTTTCCTGGCATTTGTACCTCTCTTCCAGAGGGAAGTATCTATCCTTCTGCTAAATGCAGCAACCACTGAAGGGTTCATTCCAAAAATACAGCCCCCTGAGCACTGGCACAGTTCCCGACGTTCCCTCAGCAACTGTGTCACTCTGGAGAAGGTGGAAGGAAGAAAAACACCCATCACTTGTCAAAGAAGGCACAGTGGCCCAAGATCTGATGTAACTGCCAATAAATCCTGCAGGATAATTTTCAACTAGACCAAGGAAGTGCCAAACCCAAGTGTGATTTTTTGGAAGGTGCCATTCATGGCAGAATCCCAGAGAGAAGCAGAGGCAATATTAAAAGCATGAGTTCCTAGACAAATACAGAGAGTTGATTATGTGCATTGTATAACATCCAGATTCATACTCTGGAGTATAATTGGCTCCAAAGTTTTTTGTTTCAGTGGGAAAAAAACCCTATATGTGTCACTGGACTCCAGTGCAGCTTCTTGGTGATGTGGAGATAAAACACTGAGATGCCTTCCCACAATTTCAATTTCTGTTTTGTAAAATGTAAACATTTTGTAATTTCTGTTTTGCAAAAGCAGGGAAAGGAACTGATACAGATAAATAACTATTTCACTCTCCTCCAACAGCATTAATTGACCCAGAGAGGTTGTGGACTCCTCAATGCTGGAAGTGTTCAAGGCTGGGTTGGACAGAGCTTGGAGCAACTTGTTCTGGTGGAAGGTATCCTTGCCCATGGCAGGAGGTGGAATGAGATGGTTTTTAAGGTCCCTTCCAACCCAATCCATTCCATAATTCCCCACTTCTTCCCTAGAGTTAAGACCCTCAGTACTTCCCACCAGCCAGCAGAAGCTTCTGTCTTCCAAACTATTTCACTACAACTTCCTCTAGGTATAAACTAGGGACACCTGTAACTTGCATTCAAAAATGTTTGGGTTTATTCCTAGATTAGTCACAGACCTGCAAGACAGCATTGCATGAAGAAAACAAGGTAAGTCTGCTGTAGATTTTAATACCTACATGTTTGTTAGTTAGAATGGGTGGAAATAAATTACAATAGATATTCTGATTTTAAAAGAAAGTATTTAATCCCAGAAGGAAACAAGAATATGGTTATCTAAAAAAGTGCAGAAACAGCAAAACACATTTATTTTTCCATTTATTGGCACTTATTTGAAAAATAGCATAAATATTCAACAGAAAAGAGACAAGTTGACCCACACTCAGCTATTAAACCCCCCTATACTGATGTGTCTTCTAACAAAGACTGGAAGAGACACCAGGAGGTTCATTCTCAAGAAATAAGCAAGATTTAAAAAAAAAAAGAGTCTTGCTCTCACCACAGAAGAGTGAACGCACAGCAACTCTTTGGCACAAACCTGAAACTGCAAAGCCAAACTTTGCCTCAGCAGATAGAGCAAACAGAGCCCAGCACTCCCCTGAGCGTCTGCTCGGGGACAAAGGGCAGCTGGACTCAGGGAGGGACTGCAACCAGCAGGGTGATTATTACAATAATTTAAGAGGAATGATACCAGAAGTAAACCATGTCGTATCTTAACTAGAACAGAGTCAGACTATTAAATACATTCTATTTTCTCTCTACAATAAGGACACACAGAAATGGGTCACTGGCCCTCAGGTTGCCAGGTCTTTGCACTTCAAGTCATCCCTTTCTCATTTTGATGGCTGCTGTCAGTCAAAGCTTCATCCATGTGAATCTTTCACAGCAGAGTTCAGGGCAGGTTCTTCTCCTGCTTGAGGAAGTTTCCATACTTTTCTCACTTTATGACACACTACAAAGATTTAGCGTTTAAAAATAAAACATTTTGCTTCATTCTTAACCTCTCTGGAGAGAAGGTTTGAAACCACATAGCACAGAGGCACACACATGTATAAAGAGGACTCAGCTGGGGGACTTCAGCTGCACAACCCCAATGAGGGTGTCACTGCAAAATCCCAGACAGCTGTCCATAGGGGGATCTGCAAATTCTTCCTCCTTGTTGGGGAATTTCAGAACTGAGATCGGGATACACTGACTTGTCAAGCATCTCAAATTACCAGATTCCAGGCTTCCAATCAGCATCCAAAGTTTTCAACAGCAGAAATGACTTGATGTCATTGTTTGAGGAAGCAATATCAGGAAATTAAACACAGATTAAATATGTTTGACGGCCTCAGGCTGTAAAAAGGCATTCAAGATTCCTCACTGTATCTGTCATATATGAGGACAAATACTGACTTAAAATAATGCATTTTTGAAGTACTAAATACTAAAATCTCAGGATTTAATGTATTGTTCCAAATACTGTCACTATTTTTCCTTATTAAAAGACCTTTAACAGAACATCTACCACTCCTATACATCATCTAAATGGGGAAGAAAAAGAAAAAAATGCCAGATATAAAACCCCAGAAGAATGTTCCACACCTAATTTAGATTTAGTCATAACAGCAGTCATGATCATGAATAAAATGCAACATATAAATTTGACAATTCACCAGTTTGTTCTTTTCTGACATCCACTGGAATACAGAATTGATTAAGAGCCAGTCATAATAGAACACAATAAGATTAATAATAATCAATTTCCCCCCCTGCAATATTCTCCCTTTCATATGAAGAAGAAAAAAAATATAAATATCTAACACTCTGGGAATAGAAACAATTAGTAAGCTGCTTCATTGGTTTTAGGCTAAGGACAAATGTGAGTTATCTGCTCCTCCACAGGCAGGGAGGATACAGACTGCTGGCAAGGCAAGGCTTCCACAAGCAGGACACACGTAGAGTGTTTGTAACTCATGCCAAGGAGATCACACCCACTGCAAACCAGCAGCCTGCTGATTGATGTGAGCACCCAACGTGTCTGCAGCCCAAATGCTTCTGTATTGTAGTAAATGTCATACAAATCACTAGAAAGATGAATTCCTCCTCAAGGAACTGTTCTGGAAGTTTTCTAGAAGTAATGACATTGCTGGAAGTTCCTATGAGGAACAGAATGGGTTACACACAACAGAAAGTCCGGGCGATATCCCGCCTGTTTCCCGGTGTCCAGCAGCAGATTCCTGCGTCTCAGTTCATCGGTAACTTGGCCATGAGATCGACTGGCAAAAACGGGGATCTGGAGTCGGAGAGTGACACTGGAGAGTCTGTGCTGGTGCCAACTTCAGCTGGGGAGTCACAGGAGGAGCCTGCACTGCTCCTGTTGTCATCCAGGGCGTGTGAGGACAGACTGAAAACAGAGCGACACCAGGGCGTGAGAAATGAGGCACTGGCTCTGGAAAGTGCCCAAAACCAGCCCAAATCATCACAAAGCCATTCTAAACACACATGTGCATCTCTGCAGGAGCAGAGTGATCTGAAATACACCTGCAGCTACATGTGCAGTCTCACACAGGACACTGCCCATTTCCTCCTTAGCTCACCCAAAAATGGGGCACAGATCAGAAGTTCTAGAACAAACAATCCACT